TGTCTATACACACACACACACACACACACACACACACACACACACACACACACACACACACACACACACACACATACGGTCTAGTTTGTATATCCCTGTGGGGACCATGCATTGACTTCCACTCATTTTTTGGAAATTTTATATCCTAACCCTGACTATTTATCGTAAAATTAACCTCACAGGAACCTTACCTGACCCTAAAACTAACCTAAACTCAATTCACACCTCGGTCATAAACCTAACCTCCCCACCTGTAATATGCATTTGGATTAGGGGGGACTGGGTATTGGTCCCCACGATGCACGTCCGGTCCCCACGAGGCTGCTTTTTCGGGAAAATTGTCCCCACGATGTAGGAAAAACAAGGCGACACTGACAGACACACACACACACATTTAAACACACTCTTACAACATGCTTTGCTGCTCTCCTCCTGTTTTCCTGTCCTCTCACGCTTGTGATGCCTGTGAAGTTCACAGAAACGTCTGATCAGATTTCAGTTTGGATTCTTTTCTTACAGAATTTTCTTTTATAAGCCAGAGCCTCAGAGTGTTAAATGTTGCATACACTGTATTTGTGTTACTGGTCTCACCTTCACTGCACACGTGAGGCCCTTGTATCCTCTCCGACAGAAGCAGTGGTCTGGCAGAACGCAGCGCGCTCCGTTCAGGCAGCGCTGTTTGCAGATCGCTGCAGGAGAAATGAACAACCYGTGCTTCTATAAACTCCTGATTCTTATTCTGTACCAACGTGTTGGAGTTCCAGACTCACGGGTTTGACACTGAAGGCCCTCCCAGCCCACAGGACAGTCGCAGGTGTTCGGTCCGACACACTCGCCGCCATTCTTACATTTCTGCAGACACGTGGCTGCAATCAGAAGAGTAAAATAAACCATCACCGGTCCTTTAATTAGTGGAGACTGAATAGTTTTATTTAACCACAAATAATCCAGACAACGAGCATTTTGAACCATATTTGATTATTTTAAAAAGAAAAACTGAACTTACTTTAAGCTACATCCACACTGAATTTCAGTTGTAAAACTTACCGAGTACTTATACTTCTTTATAACAAAGTACTGCATCACTCACGTATGCTGCACCTCCTGCCCCTCCACCCGGACGCACAGGAGCACGTGTTCGGCCCGACACACTTGCCTCCGTTCATGCACGTCGGCTCACACACGCCTGGAAGAGATTCATCAGCTGCGTTTATTATTTCTAATAAATGATCCTTCAGACAGCCTGGGATGGAGGTGATACTCACTCTTTTGACACCTTTGTCCGGTGTAGCCCTCGGGGCACGAGCACACGTTGTTTCTCATGCACTGACCTCCGTGTTTACAGGGCGGGCTGCAAACAGCTGACAGACGATACCAGGTCACGTTTAAAACACTTGGCTCGATGAATCGTGTGACTTTTAATATTTTTAACTCTCTTTTATTATTTTTAGTTAGGGTTAAATTACCAATTTGACACTGAGATCCAAAGAAGCCGGTGGGACAGGCACAGACGTTTGGTTTCAGACACAATCCTCCGTTCAGACAGACGGGCTTACAGAGAGCTGCAGGTGACAACAAAAACTCACTTCTTACAGTCTCAGAAACTTAAAAATTCAGAGCTACACTGCAAACAATGTCCACCTACCCAAGTTTTAAAATCTTGTATCCAGCCAAAAAGTCTTTTTGATCTTGTTTTGAGACTGATTTACTAAACAAGAACTGATTGTGTAAGAATAATAATCTTGTTTTCAGAAAGTCTAAGATTATTTGTCTTGTTGGTCTGAAAATTTGACAAATTAAGTCAAAAATTTCTGCCATTGGAGTAAGAAAATTTCACTTGGTAAGATTCTTGAAATAAGAAAAAAATCGAGTCAAATCAAGTATTTCAAGAAGTAAAAATTTCTTACTCCAATGGCAGAATATTTTTACTTAATTTGAGTCAAATATTCAGACTAACAAGACAAATAATCTTACACTTTCTGAAAACAAGATGATTATTCTTACACAATCAGTTCTTGTTTAGTAAATCAGTCTCAAAACAAGATCAAAAAGACTTTTTGCCTGGATATAAGGTTTTAAAACTTGGTAAGATGGACAGTTTTTGCAGTGTAGAAAAGCCAGATAAGAAAAGAAACATGAATGTATGACTGGCAGCAGGTTTTCTTCAGTACCTGAGCTGCACGTCGGTCCAAACCATCCAGGTTTACATTTGCAGACATCCGGAGAAACACACTCGCCTCCGTTTTCACAGTGCCTGTTACACACCACTGAGAACACAGTTGTTTTATGTGAGCCTTCTCTTTGGAAATCTAACAGGTTTACTGATGTTTTACTGGTTTAAAGTCCTTCAGAAGGGTCTTACTGGTTTCACATCTGGGCCCCAGGTAACCGTAGGGGCAGGTACAGAGGTTTCTGCTCAGACAGGTGCCTCCGTGCTGACAGGGCGGCTCGCAGCTCGCTGCACAACGAACACAAACACCCGTCAGTCCTTCTTGAGCTGTTTGCCTGCAGGTTTCCCACCCGTGTGAATCTGATTACCTTCCTCGCAGGTGGGCCCGCCGTAGCCCGCAGGACATTCGCACACGTCGGGCTTCACACACTTCCCCTGGTTCCTGCAGTCGGGTCGGCACACAGCTGAGAGGCAGATTCAATAAACCAAATCAGGCTCCGAGGCAAATGAGAGGTGACGAGTTGTTAATGAGCTTGTTTTCCTGCACAAATAAACAAATAGAGAGCGAGGAAGCCGTCTCGTTCTCACCTGTGTGGCAGCTGTATCCGGTGTAACCCGCTTTGCAGGTGCAGGTGTTGGGCAGAGAGCACTCCATGTTCCTGCCACACTGATATCTGCACACAGCTGCAACAAAAACATCTAACTGTTGGTAAATTAAACAAACAGCTGACTGAATGGTGAAAACACATGACAGGATTTACTGAATGAACTGAACAATTTATAGGAAATAAAATCTGTTATAAATGTTTACTTCCAGAAGATCACATGTAGTGTAGTGAACTCTAGTGGCAGAAACTGATAACAGAAACAACACGATGCTAAAGGCTGGTTTATACTTTGAGTCTCACGTCTTGTTCCTCCTGCCGAGTGATAAAAAACTGTAACTTCTGTCTGCTATCCAGCCGGTGACAGCCGTTGTGTACGTTGCTCCCAGTCAGAACTCTACGATGCGGAGCTTGCGGCTCGGAGCGTGTGATTGGTCAGAACTTCATGGGTGTGTTTGTTCATGAGGAGTGACTCTGAGCAGCTTATTTTGTTTAAAATGATGATTTTGTCTGAAGTCGGTTGTTAAAAGAGCTAGAAGAGCAGCTGGTTTGATCCTGTTGAGCGAGAGCATGCAGCTGATGTTCACGCCTTTTTGCCATCACAAAAAAAGTTATTTCTTTTGTTCTTCGTTCATGTGTCTTTAGCCCATTTATGCTGGTTCCAATGTCTATTTTTTCCTTTTTATGTATTTACATGAACAAAAACACAGTTATGATCATCACATTGTAACTGTGATACAATATAATGTGTCAGAGTTACACTAAATGTTCAACATTAGGCATAAAACTTGGTTTATACACTGCCTGGCYAAAAAAATTAAGCTTTCTCTGTGGCATTGTTTGGATAAGCTTCCTAGAGCTGACCAACTGCAGCAACTCCAGATCATAGCACCACCCCCGCAGGCTGTACAGTCGGTACTATGATGGTGTATCCTCTAAGACAACAGTTCCCCACTATCCTTCTTTTAATAATGTGTCGGACAGTTCTTAACCCAATTTTAGTAGTTTCTACAATCTCCTTAAGGCTGCGTCACACTGCAAGATTTTAAAACAGTCAGCCGATTTTCAAAGACTGAGAGAGCCCACACATCAAGGATCTAACAGGTTTGGTCCTACAGTGTGTGGTGTACAGCTACACGGCAAGAGACAACACACCACACACAGACAGATAGTTCATTCATGAACATTCAGATGTCACATATTAAATCACGCGAGACTTCCTGAAATCTCGTGAGAATTCATATGTCCGAGGAAAAATCTCACGTGACCTCCAGAGAGATGTGAGTTCAGAGTAAATAAACATTTGTGACGAGGAAGAAACAACGTTGCTCATTTGTGGACTATTTGTACCAGAGGAAAAACAATTCCATACAGCTTTTAATATCCAGCAGACGTGAGTCAAGACAGTTTATGTTTTCTGTATTTTGGAATCCCCTCCGTGTTTACATCACCTGGCTTTCTGATTGGCTACACGTCCCATTCAGCAGGTTGCAGCTCGTTTGTTCTCAGGTGAACACCACACACGCTGTGATATCAGGCCAAAAAATCAAACATGTTGAATTTCCCAGATTTGAGGTCGGAGCGGTCCCGACGTCCTTCTGAGCCGACTAGATCACAATTAACTCACCACCCACAGCAGGAATATCTGCTCAGATTATCTTTAGAGCCATCACGATAATCTGGACTTCCTTAAGATTGTTGGAAGGGCAAAAMTCGGCCTGATTATCTTTCTGTGTGAYGCAGGCCTTAGATGTTTTCTCTCCTTGATGCCAATGCTAATGCTAATTTGACCCTTCTCAAACAGAATAACATCTTTTCCACGACGACAGGATGTGTTTTTCCACATGGTTGTTTAAGAAATGAGAAGCATCTCATTGCATCAGTTGGGGTTAAATAACTTGTTGCAGCTGAAAGACAATAACCCATGCAGTGATTATTCAATAGGAGGCTCGTACCTATTTGCTCAGTTAAATCCAGGTGGTGACTCTTTATTTTGCCCAGGCAGTGTATAACAACATTAGCTACTTTCCTGACCTCTCACTGACCTTTACACACAACTCCATCTCCAGTGTATCCGTACGGGCAGCGCCCACACCTGGAGGAGCCTGAGTCCGTGGCTTCACAGGAAACTCCAGGAAAGCAGGGGGAGTCGACACAGGTCCCCCGGTGGGCCGGTGACCTGAACCTGGCTCCAGCTGAGAGGTCAGGGGTCAGCTCCACCCCGCTGGGCTGACCTCTGACAGGAACAGCAAAATCTGTTGGATTCTGTGGCGTTTCTGTCGTCTTCCTCTCCTGGAGGGGAAAAACTCTACTGAGGCTGGAGCTCTCTGGTCTGGACTTCCTGCTGGCTGACAGTGAAGACGTAGCTCTGTCTCGGCTGGAGTTGGACTCGGGGATGTGGATGTTGCTGAGTGTTCGCTGACCTGCAAGGCACTGGAAGTTAGAGGATAAGACTTAAAAACAAACATCACAAAAAGAATAAAGTTTAAGAAGTGAGTCAAGGCAAGAAAACTTTAAAGCAACTCCGTTTTTATAATTCAGCTCTCACCAGCTGTGCATGTTTGTCCATTTCCATGAAGACCAGGAGGACAGGGTCCACAGGCAAAACCCGCCGAGACGTGGACCGTTTCAAAGCACTGGACTCCCGGGTAACACGGCGCTCTGCTGCAGGGGGGCGGACCCGACGGTTTGAGTCTCTGTGAAACCTGCGGTGTCACCGCCTCTGGGTTGCCTTGAAAAAAAAAAAAAACAAGATGATAACAAACCTGAGCTTAACGACACGTTAATCACTTCTGTTCTGCAGATACACAGCATTTAACTGATAAAACCTGCATCAGGACTCAGAAGTCTGCAGGTTTTCCCATCACCACTGTGTCCTCGTGGACACGGTCCACAGAGAAACGAGCCCAGAGTGTTGGTGCAGCTCACTGTAGGAAAGCAAGGCTGGGAGAAGCACTCATCTATATCTTCTCTGCAGGTATGTCCTGAAAAACACGTGAAAAAAAAAGATCAATATTTAAAAGCACACATGTCTGTGAGTGCTGAACCGGGACGCCTACCTGTCATTCCAGGTGGGCAGATGCAGGAAAATGAGTTGGGTCCGTCCACGCAGCGGCCGAGTCTGCAGGGGTTGGGTTTGCAGTCGTCGATGTCCACCTCGCACCGCCGCCCYGTGAAGCCGTCCCGGCACGCGCAYTTGTGTGCCCCGCTGCCTGCTGGGACRTTTCCATCAGAGACGCAGGAAGCTCCGTTCAGACATTCACAGGAACCGACGAACACCTGGAGGAGAAAAGACACCAAAGTCTCTGAATCTGGAAAAAATAACTGGACACAGAGGTGTACCTCGTTTTATATAAACAAACTGATTTTGAATCTTTTGATATAGACTTAAATAAAAATATCACTAGACTAAGCCCCGCCCATACCGTCCACTGGTAGCATCTGTGACAACATGGAGGAGCAGAAACAGACCAAACAGGACAACAGCTCACAGCCTCCATAGAAACTAATAGATAAACAGCAGC